GACGACATCTTTAAACATGAAACCTCGAGCACCATCTGCATTTTCGTCGATATAATTTTGGTTATAAGATAAATGGGGAATGATGATACGATTCTGTCAAAAATTAATATTGGTATTGTTAATCTATTTGTATCAAAAAAATTTATAAATTATATACACGCATGTGGAAATAAGAAAACTGTACGTGGAGTGGATGATGGCGCAGCGCGGAATGTTGTGTGCCACAGAAGCATGTATATTGCCCTTCATTATTCTTTTTAATATTGATGCACTCGACGATAAATCAGAAATTTGCTATAGTCGGAGAAGATATGAAAGGGAGGAAGTGAGCCAAATGGGAGATGCACGTTGGGGTGGGAGGACACTGCTAGAGGAAGGTGTTCATCTCAGGCTCGCAACTGATGCCAAATTTTTCATAATTGGTCATCTCAGTGAAGGGTAGAGAAATACTTTTCATATCATGTGAACCATTATTTATTACCAGCAACTTACCAGATTAAGCTTAGAAGCTTTATCCTCAAATGTATAATCCTTCTGTTTCAATGAAATATATGTTTCCTGCTTGTTCTAATAGAGTTCATAGTTAGCGCAGTAGCAAGTATTGGCACCATATGTGGATCTTGACTCACTTGCCAATATGACTGATGGATATTGAGGAAGTGACTTGAAGGCACATTTATGTTGGTGTGACCCTTTCATGCTATTCAACGATGAGAAGGTGATATCTAACTCTCATTGAGTTTCCTTCCACTTGAACCTCTATGTAACAGCAGAATAGAAAGTTTAGCAAAACCTGAAGGTAGGCCTCAGCGTGTAATACTTGGAAGTGAGGACATCCGACATTTTATAGTAGATGATTTTTCCCATGATTACCTGAGTAAATGCAGTACACGTATAGCAGGATGTGCTGATCAATTTACATAGGCATAACCAATCTCACGCTACTTTATTACTCTGTATAATCGCCTGCTTGCTCAAGTAGCTCTATAGGATGCCTTTTTTTTCTTCCAGGGTACTTGCTTATTTTGGCTATTCTATCATGATCTCGTACTTACTTGTCCAACATGTATATGTATTTTTCTCACAAAAAAGCATGTCTATGTATAATATTTTATATAGTAAAATGTATTTCCAAACAAACCATTTACTTGACCTGATGCTCACTAATTTTAATAACTACAAATATACCCTTTCCTATACTCTTGTGCTAATTTCTATGTTATTCTACTTTTCTGTAGATTACAGAGGATGCTTAGTTGTTCGAATTTCTCTACAAATAACCAAAACTTTCCTGTTTGCTTTGGCCTGAGAACATGGTCTAGACCAGCTCATCTATTGTATATGTACGAAAACTTGGTTCCTTTTCCACTCTATATGGTACTGTAATAAACTGATATTTATCAAATGGTTCTATGGTAGATTACACGAGCTGTTGACTTAAAATGGTGCTCTTGATACTTATATTTAGGAATGGAGGAAGCTATTATGCTTGGTTGTGGAAGAGTGTATCCAACAGGATCCACCTGACTACGGCCAATTGGTGCTTGCACAACATCAGGGAATGATTTTTGGAGACCTGCGTAGTGGTTGGAGATGCACAACTACATGTCTTTCTACTTTGGGCTCGGGCTTGAACCTCTCATTGTGTAGATCGATGTGTGACTGTGGGATTGTTATATCGTGTCTTCTCATACTGCAGTATGCTACATAGAATAGTAAGATATTGGGCTATACTATATACAAGATTGTATTAGCATTTTGAATCTAAGCTAATTCTTGTTCCCCCCTTCTGATATATTCACACCATGTTTCAAGAGATAGTGTACAACTCCATAGATGGCAGCAGGCTGATCATGAGTGAAGATGTACCGTAGTAGGTCGTCACCGCACTCCAATTCTGCAAACCCACAGTTTCCATGAAGAGCGAGGCGGTCAGGGCACTGGTTATTGATTCTCTTCAGGATTTGTCCCAATAAAGTTTGGCCGATTCTCTTCAGGATTTGTCCCAGTGAAGTTTGGCAACTCGCGGGCACATATCTCGACAATACTTTTTAAATAAAAAATGAGGCAAGAAATCGCATGCTATATATCATTTTCGGATATATATATCATGTCGTATATCATGGCAGCAAAAGCACATTTTTCTCGTCGCCCTCAGCTACCATAGTGTGCATTCCTTGCACCGGGAATCGGCCTGGGATGCCGAGAAGAGGGGGGGATGCCTTGAAGGGAAGAACAGACAATGGTGAAAGGAAAGTGCGGGCTGAATGATGTGGTGTTGTGGGGAGGCAGCAGTGAGATGCCGTGGAGGGGAGAGATGGCAGCAACACGATGTGGCGAAGAGAGCAGGCCAGGGTAACGAGATGTGAGTGTGAACGGTGTGCCATGTTGTGAGAGTCAAAGAGTGAACTATTTTTTTAAGATGGGAAGAAACGAAGAAGTTGTTTCCTTTTCTTAGGGAAAAGCAATTGTTTGCTATGAGGAAAAGTAATGTCACATCTTTTACATAGCAAAAAATATCACATACTCTAGCAAGTCATTTCCGAAACATAATGACCAACAAGTGATTACCTGGTGAGTCTATAGTTTACTAAAATTGGGATGCGACTCACTGTACTAAAAAAACAGGATGCCACTCACTTCGACAAAAAAGGTCACCTGCTTGAAGTGAGCAGATGGCCAATGAATTTTTTTGAGGGAAAATGAATATATATTATGTATGGGCTTATACATGTTTATATATATATATATATATATATATATATATATATATATATATATATTCACTTTTATAGAATATAGATAAAAATTGATGGCTTTAGATGATGCTTTCAAAATATCGATTGAAAGAGCTTTATGATGGATGGACTGAAAACTCATCGAGTCTTATACAATTGGAAGAGATGAATACAAATAATTGTTCTTCTTTTTATATTTTTTGCACATGATAACACAAAAAAGTGTATTTTTATATGTTTATTTTTGTAGAGTATGAGAGTGATGGAGATGTATTATGCCGATGTTAAAAAAGAATCCATCAATAAGGGTGTTGACACGATGTTGTGGAAGGGACTAAAAGTTCACCGAGTTATATACAACAATACATGTTTATATATGCAATCAAAACGAACAACTAAAAAGCCCATGGCAACGCACGGGCATTCTCCTAGTTTGAGTTGGGTCTGACAGGATGTAGTCCGCCCGCTGAACAAGCACGACAGTAACGGCGAGCGGCGGCACACACGCATGCACGCGCTGCACATGGCGACCCGACCACCCCGCGTAGGGGCACACGCACGCATGTTGCACACGGCGACCATGGCGTTGACCCCGACTACCCCGTGCATGTCGGTCTGGTCCTGACCGAGATTTAGCATTGTCGGTAGGTACAGGAAAAGAAGACCACTGGGCGCCTCTCTCCAGTTCGCCGGTGACCGGTCCAAACGGCGGCCCCATGAGGGACTAGACCGTGCCCACCTTCCAGCTGTTGGTCGTGCTCGGGGAGGAACCCCTTCGTGGTCGGAGTCCATGCTCACTGTCAACCGCTCCACCATGACAACAATGCATCTAGCGCAAACCTCACCCGACTATGGCCACCTCACTGGCGCCGGGGAGGACCTCGGCCATGTCCAATAGAACCCGAGTTCCCGAGCCATGGGAGGAGGATCCTTGTGGCAGTGTACTGGAGAGAAGAGGAGGAGGACGATGATGACATGATGTCCGGCAGGATCCCACCTAGCCATGTCTAGGGAAGGAGGAGGAGGAGGAATCCAACTTCAGTCCCGACCTCCTCGAAGCTCACGACATGGAGAAGGGCCGCAGCGCGTGAGCGCTAGTGCCTGCACGCAGGTGTCGGAGGGAGGGCAGAGGGGACGGCGACTGCAAGAGGAAAAGATCGGGATTTTTTTTCATCTCGTGCCGCAACAAGAGTCATAGGTGTATCTTCACAATAAAAAAAGGAGCCAGGGGTTGAGGTGGGGGCGGTTTTGGGACATGTAATCGGGGCTAGGAAGTGGATCCAATATACTAAAAGATTGTTTTTCTTTGTTTTTCATCAAGCGTGACGTGCAGCGTATATTTTTCCTTTTTTTCCTCATCTAGCCAAACGTGCAGACTTTGTTCCGCGATGTCTGTTTTTTTTGTTTTCCTTATTACATGTGTGTAAATTTATTTTTAAATCGCATCCGTCAATCTTTATAATTAACATAAAATCAATGGATATAAAAGGGTGACGTATGGAGAATTATGAAAATTCTCCTCCCTTTAATATTAGGTAAAGATAAAGATAAAAATTCTCATCTTTTCACTAAATGGTACTTCCTCCGTAAAAAAATATAAGAGCGTATCTCCTAAACGCATATAAGAGCGTATAAGAGCGTTTGGATCTCTTTTCTTTACGGATGAGTATGTTGTAATGATATCCCCTTACTTGCGTTCGAAATACGGTTCTGCCTCGTCATGAGTTCATCGGATAAAATTGTATCTTGGGCGATACATGAGGTGCACTCCATCACCACGTTACCCATACGGCAGCTACGATACGCTCGCAAGGAGAGGGACGCATAAATCTGCAGGAGACGCGGTGTCCATGCAATCTCCCCCTCCCGATTCGCCACCAGCGCGCTCCGCCTCCCTCTTCTCCCGCGTGCCGCAGCTCGTCCCGTCGGCCATCTCACCATCGTAGGCCATCTCACCATTCGCAGCCATCATCCCCACCGTCGCCCCCTCGTGGGCAGCGGTAGGTGCAGCTTCTCCACGGAAGCTGGCGCACGGCGCTGAAGCTGCGGCACTTCCGACGAATCTGGGCCTGGGCCTGCTTCTTTCTTTACGGGCTGCCTCCAGCTGTCATATAATCACCCCTAAAAATACAAAATCTGTCATATAATCCCTAGCCCTTTCATCACCGAACAAAAACAAAAAGAATAGAAACCCTAGCCATCCGCCCGCCTCCGCCTCCGCCGCCACCTCCGCCTCGCCGCCAGAGCCCCCGGTGGAACATAATGAAATCAGCCGCCGGCGCCGCAGATTGTGGGGGCATAGCAATATCATCATCCAATCCTCACAAGAGGACGAGGAGGGGGCACAAGGGTGTTCTGCAGCTTCACCATCTGCCTCTTGTGAGTACACACTACACTGCTCTTCATCTTGCTATATTCTTGTAATTGGAAGAATTGATTTTAATTCCCCAGTTCGCTCGCCTACCCCTTTTGAATTTTTAACAAATCTGTTAGTATATAACAATCAAACCCCTTTGCCGATCCAACTCCTCTCTCCCAAATCTCCATGTCAAAATCCACAGAAAACGGAAGGGGAGGAGCTTGCCTTCCCTTGGGGCAGTAATGGAGGGCGGTGGATGAGGGGTTTGGGGGCGGGGACGCGCCGGAGCAGCACGGGCAACGGACGGTGGGGCGCAGCGGCTCTGGCGATTCTTGCTGATTGCCCCCTCCTCTCTGTCTCTGCGTGTTTGGAGTCTTAGGGAATTGCACGAGGGCAAATTAGTCAAATTGGAATATCGTAAGACCAGTTTTTTTTAATTATCAGGTAACTGAAGAGATAACAACGCGAAGGGGGCAATTAACAATCGAAGTTTCAATTAACTCCTCACCACCCTCACCTTAGACACATATAAAGGATACCCATCTGCCTCCGGCGAGTGAACATGCATACATGTTGATCCATATTACTACTGGTCGACTGATTCACTTATTTTCAGCCATTTTCGATGGCTCACTTATGTTGGAAATAATGAGTGTTGTCTATCAACTACACACTTATTTGTGGTGCCGCTCACAAATTGCATATTTGAGTCTTAGGGTGAGGCATGTAGATCCCATTAATTGTAAGTTGAGAGGATGAATCGCTCTCTAAAAGGAATTAATTGATTCTCAATTTTTTGGGATCGTAGGGCGATGATTTACTTAACTTGAAAAGATAGAATCTAGACTACACTGTCTATCACGACATAATTGACAAATAGTATTTGTGAAGTTCTTTGAAATTGGTAGACATGCTGCTCTTAGCAAGCAGTGCTCAAGCATCTCGGTTTTAATCCGAGTGGGAGCAGGCATCTTGAGCAATGCGACATGATGAGTTTTGTTTTCTAACATGTAGATTGACATAGTTTTTTAATTTAATCGTATGCTCTAGGTCCCTCCAATTATCCAATTATCAATGTGCCTAGGAAGTCTTCTCACCAGTTGACATATATGGTGTGCTCCATTATTAATTAACTTCCTTAAGTATACAATTTCATTAAGTACATTCCAGTAAGCATAAAGTCCATGAATCATAGCAATTCCATGTAAAGCATATATAATTTCATATTTAGGTATTCTGAATATTAATAATTCCAACCAATTGGAATATAGTTCCATGATACATTTGTTACGACTAGACATTGAAAAGAAACATATGATCAAATTGTATTGTTGTCTCATGCAGGATACTTTAAGTGACATTGTGTCATTGTTAAGCTTCAAAGAGGCTGCGCGCATGAGCGTACTGTCGAGCCAGTGGAGACATCTCTGGAGATCATGTATCAGAGACCTGGTCTTCACTAGGGAGACAATGTGCTGCCCCATGCCCATGAGCCGAGAGGAACAAGATCGAGAAGCTTTCATCAGGAATGTTGAGTGCGTATTGTGCCAACTCGATCCCACCATTGCTAGGGACAAATTCGTGCTCGAGTTCAAGCTCATCAATACAAATGTGCAGACCCATGTTGACAGATGGGTCGCCTTTTGTGCAACATCAAGAGTGAAGCACATTGTCTTCGATTTCAAACCAGGGTCATGGGGCAAACACGACAATTCGTTCAACTTCCCAATACACCTTTTCATCAATGGCGCTCCTGCTGTCAGATCTTTGTGCCTCATGTCTGCCTACCTAAACCCAGTACCTGGTTTTTCTAGCTTCACAAACCTTAGAAAGCTCATGCTCGACTCGGTGTCTGGAGATATCCAGTGCATGTTGTTGCCAGCGTGCTCCATGCTTGAGTGGCTTAGCATCGTGCGTTGCACCCTCCACAGCTTGACTACTTCCCAACCGTTGCACCAGTTGCGATACCTGTGTGTGCACTACTGCTTCAATATGCAGAAGCTTGAGGTGCAAGCTCCCAACCTTAATACCTTCATATTTGGTAGCTTGGAGACCCACCCAGTGTCATTTATCATTGATGGATGTCTAGAGATACAGGAGGTGACTATCAAGTTGCCAACATGGAGGAGTGACCTTTTTGACTACGCCTTCGCGGATCATGGTATGGCGAATGTGCCCAAGCTCTCTGTGGAACTTGCAATTGATTCCAAGGTGATCCTTTTGTTTTATATGTATGTTAACAAAAAATAATATCTTGCATGTTAGTTATACTGCTGTACTTTCAACTTCTAAAAATGCGCCTTGTCCTTTTTAGTGTCGATCCATGGTAATTAATTGTTGTTCGTTTTCTGACCATCCCATGTTTCATTTTGCCATGGTTGTGTGCGTTCATGTCATGCAGGTGCCTGGATGTGCAAAATGCCCTAGTAAGTTTGTCAACCTGAAGCATCTTATATTGACCGTCGATGTACTTGCAAATGATAAGTATACAAGTGGCATTCTTCGTTTGGCTTGTCTTTTGGAATTAAGCCCAGTTTTGAATCGTCTTGAACTGCATGTAAGTGATCCATCTCTTTGATATTTATGTACTACAATTATCTGATCGAGCAAAACAACATAAGTTATAAAATCGGGCTTTTCTCTTTATGTTGTAATATCCTGTCATAATATGTTTTTTCATCGTGCATCCTAGTTACTGTTAAGCGGTACTCCCTCCATTCCACAATGTAGTGTGCCCACGCTTCTCGAGATTCAAGTTTGACCGTAAATTTAACCAACGAGACTGACTGCGGCGGGAGCAAAAATTATACCATTGAATTCGACCGTAAATTTAGCCAACGAGACCGACTGCGGCGGGAACAAAAATTATACGACTGAATTATATTAAAAATACGAATTCAGTGGTATAATTTTTGCTCCCGCCGCAATCGGTCTCGTTGGTTAAATTTACGGTCAAACTTGAATCTCGGGAAGCGCGGGCGCACTACATTGTGGAATGGAGAGAGTATGAAACATGACATTAATGTACACTCAATTTTCTCTCATGCACAGTAGTGCAGTACCTCAGCATGCTAGATTATATTACTATTTTTTAGCATCAAGTAATTTCAGGATAAGGTTGATTGTTTAAAGGGAGTTGGCGTTATTGTTCTAATTAAGCAAGAATAACTTTTGAACCACAAAGCTTACATGTCTCCGATTGACTTTTTTATTTCCAGAGAGGTGCTTTTATGAAATAGTGATTAACTGTTAAGTTTGTTTTGTTTACTGTCTTTGATAAGGCAGATCGTATGCGTACTCAGAACAGGAGAAGTGTTGAATCGGATAGAGGAGTTGCCCCCGGCCCGTGAGCCACATTATCATCTGAAGACATTGCAGATGACTGGAGTCTACGGCTACAACAACCTGTTTATTCTGGCACTGCATTATGCTCGAACTGCCATGGCGCTAGAGCACATGGTCATCGATCCCGAGGCAAAGAAGAGCTATGTTCTGACTCGTGATGCGGTAGAAGAGGATGCGGTCCATTGGGGCCGACGGATGGCCAATGAACATCTTCGGGGACGAGGGTTGGATGGCATCCTCACCATCTTGTAAATGGGAGGTCCCGCCAGGGAGAGATTGTAGTATTGTTTTTTATGCTTGTAAATGGGAGGTCCCACCGGGGAGAGATTGTAGTATTGTTTTTTATGGATGTTATTTACAGTATCTTTATTCCTAAAGTGGGATTTGATAGTTTCCATTCCATGATTTGTTTTTGTTGGTTTATTTTTGTTTGATTTTTTTGCCTCGTCTCCCACTGATTTTTTTTATCTTCTCTGTTTTTGTGTGTGACTTCATCCTGTTGACCCATGCTTGCCTCTCCGTGCTGCTGCGATGGGTCATGCCGTATCCCTCGTCCTTGTGGGGGCACCGTCTGCCTCTCCTACTCATTCACTTTCAATATTCCAGTCATTGAGGATCTATTAGATGAGCTACATGGTGCACAACTGTTTTCCAAACTTGATTTGAGATCAGGTTATCATCAGATAAGAATGAGAAGAGAAGACATTCCAAAATTTTAGGACATATTTTTGTCATTATGAATACTTAGTGATGCCATTTGGACTCACTAATGCACCTGCTACCTTCCAATTTTTAATGAATCATGTTTTTGCTCCGGAAATACCTTTTGGTATTCTTTGATGATATTCTGATATATACTGCGATGGGTCATGCTGTATCCCTCGTCCCTGTGGGGCATCGTCTGCCTCAGCTACTCAATCACTTGCTGCGATGGGTCATGCGGTATCCCTCGTCCCTGTGGGGGCACCCCAGAGGCGTAGGACGTGTTTGGTTGCCCGCATGAGGCCCGGGCGGGAAGAATTTGGCCTGTTTTGTTTCCTGCATTCACTGTGCGGCCCGCATCGCACGAAGCTGAAAGCACGTCCATGCCTGGCCCAGCAGTAGCTCGCGAGCCCAGCCAGGGCGAGGCAGGGGAGGGTGACGCGCTTCTCCCCTCGTGCGAGCAGGGGAGATGGCGCGAGCTCGCCCGCTTCGGCGAAAAATTGGCGGGAGGATTTCGGCTCATCTCCCGCCGCTCCACCCCTATTTAGCCCCTCCCTCACCGTCCCAACTCCCGCCACCATTCTTCCTCCGTTCGCGCTTTCCCGCCGACGCGCATCGGCACCGACGAGCAGGTAAGCGGCGCATCTTCATCGGCCGGCTGTCCACGGCGTCGGAGCTCCTTCACCGGCCGGCGTTCATCTTCCACCACCGCCCCCCTCGTCCTCAAGCTGCAGCCAAGGCCTCTGTGAGTTCAATCCCTCTTTCTCTCTGTTCCTTCTAGCTAGATCTGAGCTACAGCTAGGGTTTGATCTAGATGCATGGTTGATTAGTGGTCTGATCTGTGAGCTGATATGGTTGGTGAAAAGGATCGATATAGTTGACTAGAGGGGGGGGGGTGAATAGGCAACCAACAATTTTTAAGCTTTTCTTTACCAATTTAAACTTTGCAATAATAAAGGTTGTCTAGAAGTGCAACTAGGTGGACAACCTATATGATGCGATCAACCCAAGCACAAGAGCAAGCAAAGATAGAAACACAAATAAGCTTGCACAAGTAAAGGGATAAGATAACCAAGAGTGGAGCCGGTGGAGACGAGGATGTGTTACCGAAGTTCCTTCCTTTTGAGGGGAAGTACGTCTCCGTTAGAGCGGTGTGGAGGCACAATGCTCCCCAAGAAGCCACTAGGGCCACCGTAATCTCCTCACGCCCTCGCACAATGCAAGAGCCGTGATTCCACTATTGGTGCCCTTGAAGGCGGCAACCGAACCTTTACAAACAAGGTTGGGGCAATCTCCACAACTTAATTGGAGGCTCCCAACAACACCATGAAGCTTCACCACAATGGAATATGGCTCCACGGTGACCTCAACCGTCTAGGGTGCTCAAACACCCAAGAGTAGCAAGATCCGCAAGGGATAAGTGGGGGGAATCAAAAGTCTCTTGGTGGAAGTGTAGATCGGGCCCTTGTCACCCAATCTCGAGCAAATCAACAAGTTTGATTGGCTAGGGAGAGAGATCGGGCCAAAATGGAGCTTGGAGCAACAATGGAGCTTAGAGATGGAAGAGGTGGTCAACTAGAGGTAGGAGACACGCCTTTTATACTCGGAGAAAAGATCCAACCGTTATCCTCTTGTTCAGCCCGCGACACGCGGTACTACCGCTCCGAAAACGCGGTACTACCGCGCGGCCACGCGGTACTACCGTGGAAGGCCATGGTACTACCGCGGCAGCAGCAGAGCCTGGGACTGGCCTGACTGAGCGCAGTACTACCGCTGGCGCGGTACTACCGCACACCATTGCGGTACTACCACAAGGCAGGCAAGCCCCAGCCTACGAAGAGCCCGGATGAAATAAATTACATCCGTGCCTACTTCCGCTGAAAAAGAAACAGTGCAAAAACCCGACGCGGTACTACCGCGCCCGAGGCGCGGTACTACCGTGGAGGCGCGGATGTAAAATTACATCCGCTCCTACTACCGCGGCGCAACGGTACGGGGCATGAGGGCCACGGTACTACTGCTCCAAGAGAGCGGTACTACCGTGTCCACTCGCGGTACTACCGCGCAAGATGTGCGGTACTACCGTGTGGGTGCGGATGTAAAAAATTACATCCGCGCCTACTACCGTACCGGAGCAGCACAAGGCCTGGGAGTTGCGGTACTACGGCTCCAGGGGAGCGGTACTACCGTGACCCCCAGCGGTACTACCGCTGGTGCTTGCGGTACTACCGCTTCCTAGAGCAGTACTACCGCAAGAACAGCAGTAGCCGCCGGTTTTAAGCACAACTATGAGAACGGGAAGATGCTCCAAAGTGCAAGGAAAGGAAGGACAAGTGTACGCGTTGATTCCACCCAAACCTTTCCGACGCGGACCCCCTCTTAATAGTACGGCTCTCCTACGACTCAAATCCACCAAAAAGAAACGTAGAACGACGCCGTCTTCAATAGTCTCCGAGGGGCACCGAATCGTCTCGTGCCTAGTGATGAAACATCTAAGAAACTCAAGGCATACGATTAGACCGCAAAAGTATCGTCATCAATCACCAAAACACATACGGGATAAATATGCCCTTACAATCTCCCCCTTTTTGGTGGATTGATGACAATACGGGATTTGCACAAAGATACGATAATATTGAGCAAGGGCAAACCCCTCCTCTCCAAAATATAGATGGGCTCCCCATAGATGTGTGCACTCTGGATGAATGCTTTGGACTGCATAGCACACATACTAGGATCACCACTCCCCCTATATTTTAGAGACAAAGGCCCGAAGAATAACATCTAAGCAAGATATAGCACAATATAACACAAGCTCGCTAAGATAGATAGAGTGCATATGTCTTACACCATATGAAGGAAAAGCAACTAAAACGAGGTTCAAACAAGGTTCAACCGAGAATGCAATAAACACACTAAACACGAACACGACACAAGACTCGCAAATCCCTACACTCTCTCCCCCTTTGGCATCGAGACGCCAAAAAGGCAGAGAGGACACCTACACACAAGCGGTGGCTCAAGCAGCAGGGAACTCATCCCAACCCTCTCCGTCAGACTCCTCGGCAGCAGGGATGGACTCCTCGACGTCCTCCTCAGAATCAGTCCACCTGTAGCCTTGCTTCTCCATCCACTCAGCCTCTGGAGTGATGCGCTCCTCAGACCCGCCAGACACATCCTCACCATAGAGCTACAAGATCTTCCTGTCCCGGCGACGACTCTCCTTGGACGCCACGTGAGTCCTGTACTGCCCTTTGGCTTGCATGCAGAAAAGAGTCTTCATCTTGTCCTTCAGCTTCTTGGCCCATGAAGGCATAGAGGAGCTCTAGGAAGTGCTAGCAGCATGGCCCTCAGCAACATTCTCGGCGCCAGCATCCTCCTCACCAACAGCAGCCCTAGCAGCAGACGCCTCGGCACGAGTAGTAGTGTTGGCCCAGTTGGGTTTGACACGCAGACAGATGGGATCATGGCGAATCCAGTCAGGGGGAAGGAACTCCTCACCAGGGAACATCTTCTCCCAGGTCCTCGAGATCAGCAGAAACAGATAGGGCCCGTAGATAGGCACTTTGCGGTTGAACACCGCAAACCAAAGCTCACACCACATGATGTGTGAGACATCAAGTGACTGAGTCTGAGACAAACGAGCCTCCTCGCAGATGAGCATCATATCCACCATATAGGCATGGACCTTGTCCTTGTCACCAATGCGAGGGAACAATGAGTTGCGGAAGATGCGGTACATGATATCCAGAAAAGAGTTGAGCACCAACCCTATCTTTCCACTTGGAAGCGTCTTCTCAACATAGTACGGTGCAAGCCTGTCCTTGTTGGTAGAGTCAGAGTTGGCATGGGGGCAAACACCCACGGGAGCGTCGAGCCAGTCATCAGGTACTTGGAGCAAATCCATGAACTCCTTCCAGGTAGCAGTCAGCTTACGGCCATTGGTCATCCAGGTCATCCTCCTCTCCTCATCAGGGTGAAAGTAAACTGAAGCAAAGAACTGATAGATAAGCTCAGGATCATAGTCAAGGTGAAAGGATATCACATGCTCAATGCCAAACTGCTCCACCAAGTCCAGAGCCTCTCCAAAGTAGGCACAGAACTTGTCCTTCCTCAAGTGATGCATGTCAATCCATTTCACATCCACATAGGTATTCTGCTTGTTCTTGATGACATCCAGATAGATGTGGTTTGTTGCTTGTTCCAAAACAGCTCACAACCCCTGACAGAAGAACGAGGGGTCACGTACGGGTGAATCTGCTTGAGACGGACATAGTCAGATTGGGGCATCTCATCCATGCCCTTGCGGGCTCCTTGAACTTGCTAGCAGTAGTCTTGACATTGCGCTTGGGGGCAGAGGAGCCCTCTGGTGCGTCACCTGGGTTGCGCAGACGCTTGGAGCCAGTGTCACGACTGGGATTGGAACGGCGAGAGCCACCACCTGAGACACACACGCAAAACACCAACGAACGCGAAGAGAATCAATGCAAATACCACAACAAAGCACAAGAAACACATAGGAAATATACGTGAAGGTTGGCCAGCGTTAG